CCATTCTAACTGGTGTAAGGTGGTATCTCAATGTGGTTTTGATTTTAATTTCCCTGATAGTTAATGATGATGAATATTTTTTCATGTGTCTGTTAGCCACTGACAAGCCAAGAAACAACAAATGTTGGAGAGGTTGTGGAGAAAGGGGAACCCTCTTACACTGTTGGTGGGAATGCAAGCTGGTGCAGCCACTCTGGAAAACAGTATGGAGGTTCCTCAAAAAAAATTAAAAATAGAGCTACCCTATGACCCAGCAATTGCACTACTGGGTATTTACCCCAAAGATACAGATGTAGTGAAAAGAAGGGCCATATGCTCCCTGGTGCTCACAGCAGCAATGTCCACAATAGCCAAACTGTGGAAAGAGCCAAGATGCCCTTCAACACGTGAATGGATGAAGATGTGGTCCATACGTACAATGGAATATTACTCAGCCATCAGAAAGGATGAATACCCAACTTTTACATCAACATGGATGGGACTGGAGGAGATTATGCTAAGTGAAATAAGTCAAGCAGAGAAAGTCAATTATCATATGGTTTCACTTATTTGTGGAACATAAGGAATAGCATGGAGGACATTAGGAGAAGGAAGGGAAAAATGAAGGGGGGAAAATCGGAGGGGGAAATGAACCATGAGAGACTATGGACTCTGAGAAACAAACTGAGGGTTTTAGAGGGGAAGGGGGTGGGGGGGTGGGTTAACCTGGTGATGGGTATTAAGGAGGGCACATATTGCATGGAGCACTGGATGTTATACACAAACAATGAATCATGGAACACTGCATCAAAAACTAATGATGTACTGTATGGTGAGTAACATAACATAATAAATTTAAAAAAAAAAAGAAAGTATATTTGGCAAATAAGTGCATCAAAAGATGCTTAACATCTTTAGTTATTAGGGAAATGCAAATTAAAGGACAATGAGATATCACTACAGATTTGTTGGAATCATGAGTATTTAATACACTGGTTCATACCAAGTGTTGGCAAGGATGTGGAGCAATTGTAACTCTCATACATTACTGGTAGGAAAGCAAAATGGTGTAGACACTTTGAAACACAGTTCTTAAAAAGTTAAACACACGCTTATCATAAGACCCACAATCCCACTGCAAGCTGAAATAAAAACTATCTTCATACACAAAAAATTTATACATGGGTGTTTATAGCAGCTTGATTCATAATTTCTCCAAACTGGAAATGGCCCAGATGTCCTTCCACAGGTGAATGGTTAAACAAGATGTGATATATACTGCACAAATGAGGTTAACAAAAAGGAATTAGGGGCTGATATAATCGACATATAAATGAATCTCAAAATAATTACACTGAGTGAAAGAACCCATAATTCCTTCCCACAAAAGATGCAACAACCAGGTAGAATATCCGGTGTCTTCCCCCACCAGCCAATGGGATTCAGAAATGATGTTTTTTTGTCGGTGATACCCATGGTATGAAACATTCGGAAGATGTCAGAATCCATACCATGTGATTGTGCCTTCAGACACTAGTTTATTCTCTGGTCTGCATTTTGGGATCATTTCTCAAGCAACTGACATTTCTTTGGACATCTACCCACCCTCCCCCTACTACTGCCACTACCACAAAGTAGTTTCCAGAGCTGTGACTCAGAACCTGGAAGCTGTTAGACTCATGCCTTGGGCAGCTCAGGCATTCCATGATACAACCCTTCAGTTGCAACTTTCATGCTTCTAGCTGGAAATGGGGAAAATGTGGCCATCTTTAGATATAAAATAGACAAAATCCCTCCCAGTACTTAGAATATTCCTGCCAGAAACCTCTAAAATCAGATTCTCCAGAAACATAGCCTGGGCCTATAACCTGACTCATTCAAGTCTCCCTTTTGCTGAGGATGTGAAGCATGGAGAGCTGCTCTTGCCCAGAGTGAGTACAAACTCACTCTGCAACACGGGTGAAGCATGGGTTCACCTCCTTTGTGTCTGGGTCTCTACTTTATGCTTCTTTCTTCTGCCTCCATTTTGATCAGTGGGTTCCTTTCTTAATAGCCTCTAAAACCAGCTTTGATTTCTAATTATATTTTTCAATCTCCCACTTAACTCAAAAAATCCATGACTGGTTTTCTTGTTAAAACCCCCAGCTAAATTCATCCCAAGGGAATCTCTTCTGTGGTTTGCCTCTATAGTCACCATCTCCCATCCTATCCGTCCCATCCTTCTGAGGATGACCCAGCAACCCAGCAGCAGGCCTGAGTCTCCCTAGTCACTATACACACTCACTCTCTGGTTTTCCTGAGCTGCAGTAGTTGCACATCCTCTGGTATTACGAGAATTCCCAGAACCATTGTACTCACAGGAATTCTTTCTACCTCTTCCAGACCAAGTAGCTGCATGTAGAGTTACACATTCCTAAAAGCGACATCACTGGCATGTCATCTGTCCCCCAGGCCATCTCCAATCCCTACCGCCTTCCTCCAATTCAACTCACTGGCATCACTGCCTGTGCTAAACTGTGAGTGGGAAGGTGAGAGTAGAAATTTCTGGACCAGGAGGCATATGCCTGAGTGAGTGGGAGAAGGGCATGAATACAGCCTGCTAGGACCTCAGAGAGAGTTAACTAATCCCTGGAACCAGAAACACTAGATAGTCCTACAATATCTCCATAATGCAAACTTGGCAGTTTGTGTTACTGCCACCTTCTTACTGAAGAAGGTAGTGATTAGAAAGGGGTGAAGAAAAGAAAAAGAAGAGAGGAAGTAGTGAGAGAATGCAGGATGCTGGCTTTCCTCCTCCCCCTCCTCCTCCTCCTCCTCCTCCTCCTTTTTCTTCTTCTTCTTCTTCTTCTTCTTCTTCTTCTTCTTCTTCTTCTTCTTCTTCTTCTTCTTCTTCTTCTTCTTTTCTTCTTCTTCTTCTTCTTTTCTCCTTCTTCTTCTTCTTCTTCTTCTTCTTCTTCTTCTTCTTCTTCTTCTTCTTCTTTTCTTCTTCTTCTCCTCCTTCTCCTTCTCCTTCTTCTTCCCTTTCTCCTTCTCCTCTTCTTCTTCTTCTCCTTCTCCTTCTCTTCTTCTTTTAATGCCTTCTTGCACTGTTTAGTTGAAAACCAAGAGTTCTGAGAAAGTTTAGTCATGCCTTTCCAGCTTTGCCCATCACTGGACTCCTTCTGGGTTACCACTGCCAAATATTTGAATATTTCTGAGAGATTTTTTTTGTGTGTGGAAATATGGTCAAAGGTTTCAGGGAAATAGACAAGTTTCTGAGAAGTTGGACTCCAAGAAAAGGGTTCAGTGTGAGTGGAAAGGAATATTTTAAACAAATCTGGTCCTAAGACCTCAGCTATATTCAAGAGTGATTAAGCAGTATTTAAGAATTAGGGAGAAAAATGCCAAGGGGTATAAAAGTCTTTATTTTTAAAGATGAAACAAAGAGATTAAGTATCTGAAGTACTGCTGGAAGACTAGACTGTTTTGATAGAACTATTCTCCTTCTCTCTTTTTTTTTCCTTTTTATTCCTCTTTTTAATTTTCATCTTAGTAATGTGTATGGCATGGCAATCCATTCCATTAACCTTCCAGAGAGAAGTGGCCAAGAAATCTCAATCATGAGTCCAGGATTCTATTCACTTCTTGATGACAGTGTAGCCAAAATGGAGGTTCACTTCTTAAGGTGAAAGCCAAAGGTCCTGAAAACTCATACAAAGTGACAAAGTAATGCACCACCTGTGTACCCACCTCATTTTCTCCTTGTCCATCTATTCCTCCACTTGTATCTCTCTTCCCTAAATAAGCAGAACCTCTGCATTAACGTGCAATAAGCACATCTATAAAGATGGACTTCATCTGTTTTCCTCTAGTTATTTCACCTCCAGGAACATGATTTTTTTCCTAATGTGTAAGATTTCACTCTAGTATGGCCTTTGGGTCTGACATTCCTAAATATCGAACACCCTATGTTCTAGGTCTCTTCATCCTTACTTGCTTTCAAAACTAAGAGTATGTAAAACCAAGCAAGATTCCTCAGTTAATGTTTGTCTGTTCAGCGGCTTTCTTTGTTACACCAAGCCCTCTAAAAAGTCACTACAGAGATAGAGATATAAAAGGGCAATTAGAAAAAGCAGGTGGACCTTCAAGAATGTTCAGGGGTCTCTATAACATTCAGACACTGAATGTCAGAGTTTGGAAGGAACTTAGGAATTATAGCCCAACTTCTGCCAATCTCACCAGCTGTGGCATTGGTCAGGGAGTGGACACACCATTTGCATTCTCTGAGCTATGTTAGTGACAAAGCCAGGTCTGGGTCCTAGGTTTTCTGATACCTTTCTTCCATGAAGCATTTCCAATCATATTATCTTGATGTTTGTTCAATCTTGGGTGTAAATGAGAAGAAGTTTTGTTTCCACCTAGGATGAGCATGGTACCCTGTATTGAAAGTGTTCTCAGCTCTCACGGGCATCAGCTGTGAAGAGTCAAGTTAGCTCCAGGGGCTGACTAGAAGAGAGACTCCAAAGCAATCACAGAATCCACCATCAGCTCTGAAACCACCAAGAAGCAGCAACCCTCTTGGGAGAGACCAGCATTGACCATTAGTTCTCTTTTTCTAGAAAACTGTTTTCTCTCTCAAGCCCCCCAGCCCCAATATCCAGCCTCAGCTCTAGAAAAGTGAATCTTCCTTAAAGAGCCAGCACTTGACCTTGCTGAATAAGGGCTAGAGAGCTATTCATTCATCATGGAAAATTTCCTAAGCAAAAGGAATGCATTTATCTTAATTCTACCCTTATGTTTATATGATTCTTTTCCTGGGGACTTCTACTCTTAATTGCAAAGAAAGATGGAGAGAGAAAAGAAAATCCTCAAAGAACACACTTTATAGCTCCCTGTACTCAGGTCATGCTGATAAACTAGGCTTGCGAGCAGAGCAATTTAGGTTTCTATTACCTCAAGCAACCAGGGTTATGTGGTCAGACCATTTCCTGAAAGTGTTCTCCTTCCCTGAAGGCCCACCCATTCCAGCCCATTAGACTTGCCTTGAAGGTTGTCTGGGGTTTACCACTGCTCCTCAGGACTTGAGCTGAACCCTGGGAAAGGCAGATTGTAGAACTATTGAGGAAAAGACAAGAGAAAATAGGAGTTAGCATAAACAAGAGGAATTTAAATTACACAACCAGCAAAAGTTGGCCAGAGTGAATGCTCAGTGCTGGAATATATTTTAAAATCTCCATGAATAGCTTAAGATTTAGATCAAGCCAAGGGGCAGAATAAAATAAAGATAAAGAAGAATGAATGAGAGAGATACTTATTTGATTCATTTTCCCATCTATGAATACTCTGAGGTTCAGGCTAGAGAGAGGACGCTTGGTCATTTGTGAAGGCAAGCTGTCTGAAGGGCGTTTTCTCTCTGGTTCAGTGTCATCCCTCTTCCTGGCCTTTGTATCTCCCAGCCCCAAGCACCATAATACACTCACATCCTAAACCTGTTTTGTGGCTTAGTCACTTGCCAGCACTTTGCTTTCCTCTTCAAGCTCAAACTTCTGAACTTTGAATTCAGATGCCTTCTGTCAACCTTATTTAACACACCCCAACTTCTCTCTCTTCACCTGCCTACTCCTCAGTCTTGCCTCTCCACCACCTTGGCCCTCAAATCAACCAGGACCAGCCCCAGCCAGAGATAATGAGACAAGCCATACCCACCATTTGAGCCTCAAATCACCTTAGCCCCATCTCCTCTTCTTTGTGGGTTCTAATGACCATACTAGCCCCTATTTTATGTGTGAAATTCCCAGCATCTTCATGGACAAGACTGCCTTTCTCAGGATTCAGGGTCCAGCCTTCTAGAATTCCCTAAATCTTCCTTCCTCAAGAACCTGACAATAGGTAAGGATTTGAAAACAAAATTTGGACCAAGGCATGAGTGCCTGAAAACTGACCTCACAAGTGACCAGACTGGGTACTAACAGTAACAATGCCATTTTCAACTCCATAATCTCATTCCATCCTCACAGCCATCCTGTGAAGTGGCATAGAGACGTATTATACATATTTGAAGTCCCAGTTAAGGAAGGAACTTGTCTGAGGTGATGCTAATAGTTTTCCTCTCACCTAGAGTAAAAACCAACCTCTTTAGCATGGCATACAAGGACATAGATGATCTATTCTGTGTCTTTCTCTCTGACCTCATTTTCCACCACTCTCTGACTCTTCATTGATTTTTCTACTTTCTGCTAAAGTATAACTTTCAAAAGTTTAAAACATTATTTTCATAAAAATATGTAACCAACACATGTCAAATGTTTTACTCAAGTCATTAATTAGTGAGAGAACCTGTTAAGATTTGTTCAGAAGAGAATTTGAAGAACAGACATATATGTATACATAGGCTGTCAGAAATGTTGAAGTAAATTTGCTAATAGATGCAAAACTGGTTAATATCATATGAGACCATGAAATACAACATTTGTATCAATGCAACTGATACATATTTGGTTAGGCTGATCAAGAGAAAAAGAGAGAGGACTCAAATTATGAAAATCAAGAATGAAAGAAGAAGCATCATAACCAATCTTACATAAATAAAAATATACTATGGGAATACTGTGAACAACTGTATGCAAACAAATTAGATAACTTACATGAAATGGATAAATTCCTAGAAAGAGGCAAATAATAGAAATTTAATCAAGAGTTATAAAAATAGGAATAGATCTATAACAAGTAAAATAATTGCATCAGTTATTTTAAACTTAACATTCAAGAAAAATGAATAGCAATCCTCAAAACCCTTCCAAAAAAATGCAGTGGAGACTACTTAACTTCTTATGTGAGACCAGTATTACTTGGTCCTCACACACAGAGACATCACAAGAAAATAATATTGGAACAGACTAATCTTCCATATGTCTATAAATATAGACACCAAAAATACTCAATAAAGCACTGGCAAACTGAATCAAGCAACATATAAAAAGGATTATACACCAAAACCAAGTGTGACTTATCCCAGAAATGCAAGGTTAGTTTAACATCTGAAAATCACTTAAGGTAATACACCATATTAGTAGAATAAAGGACAGAGCAGGGCACCTGGGTGGCTCTGTTGGTTAAGCGACTGCCTTTGGCTCAGGTCATGATCCTGGAGTCCCTGGATCGAGTCCCACATCGGGCTCTCTGCTCAGCAGGGAGTCTGCTTCTCCCTCTGACCCTCTCCCCTCTCATGTGCTCTCTTTCTCATTCTCTCTCTCTCAAATAAATAAATAAATAAAATCTTTAAAAAAAAAAAGTACAGAGCAATATGGTTATCTCAGTAGAAATAGAAAAAATAACTGACAAAAATCCCAAATTTTTCATGATAAAAAAGCACTTAGCAAATCAGAAAGAAAGGACTTCTTTCTGTGTGATAAAGACCATATATGGAAACCCACAGCTATCATACTTAATAGTGGGAGGCAACAAAAAGAAATAGAAGGCATCCAAATAGGCAAAGGAGTCAAACTTTCACTGTTTGCAAACAACATGATATTCTATGTAGAAAACCCAAAAGACTCCACCAAAAAATTGCTGGGACTGATACACAAATTTAGTAAATCTGTTGCATTTCTATACACGAATAATGAAACAGCAAAAAGAAAAATTAATGAACTGATCTCATTTACAATTGCATCAAAAACCATAAGACACCTAGGGATAAACCTAACCAAAGAGGTAAAAGATCTGTACTCTGAGAACTATAGAACACTTAAAAAGAAATTGAAGATGACCTCGGCCATAGCCACTTCTTGCTAGACATGTCACCAGAGGCAAGAAAAACAAAAGCAAAAATGAAGTATTGGGATTTCATCAAAATAAAAACTTCTGCATAGGAAAGGAAACAATCAACAAAACTAAAGGCATCCCTTAGAATGGGAAAAGATATTTGCAAATGATATATCTGATAAAGGGTTAGTATCCAAAATCTATAAAGAATTTATCAAACTCAACACCCCAAAACTAAATAATCCAGTTAAGAAATGGGCATAAGACATGAATAGACATTTTTCCAAAGAGGACATAGAAAAACAACAACAACAAAAAAAGAGGACATACAGATGACTAATAGACATATGAAAAGATGCTCAACATCACTCATCATCAGGGAAATACAAATCAAAACCGTGATGAGATTCCACCTCAGACCTGTCAGAATGGCTAAAATTCACAACACAGGAAACAACAGATGTTGGTGAGGATGCAGAGAAAGGAGAACCCTCTTACACTGTTGGTGGGAATGCAAACTGGTGCAGCCACTTTGGAAAACAGTATGGAAGTTCCTCAAAAAGCTAAAAATAGAACTACCCTACAACTCAATAATTGCATTACCAATACTTAGGTATTTACCCAAAGGATAAAACATACTGATTCAAAGGGGCACATGCACCCTGTTGTTTATAGCAGCATTATCAACAATAGCCAAATTATAAGGGGCATCTGAGTGGCTTAATTGGTTAAGCATCTGCCTTCGGCTTAGATCATGATCTCAGGGTCCTGAGATTGAGTCTCGAGTTGGGCTCCCTGCTCAGTGGGGTGTCTGCTACCCCCTCCCTCTACCCCTCCCTCCCCCCCATGCTCACTCTCCCTCTCTCTCTCTCTCTCTCTCAAATAAAATCTTTAAAAAAAACCCACAATAGCCAATTATGGAAAGAGCTCAAATGTCCGATGACTGATGAATGAATAAAGAAGATGTGGTATATATATACAACAGAATATTACTCAGTCATCAAAAAGAATGAAGTCTTGCCATTTGCAATGACATGGAGCTAGAGTGTATTAGACTAAGTGAAAAAATTCAGAGAAAGACAAATGCCATATGATTTCACTCATATGTGGAATTTAAGAAACAAAAGAGATGAACATAGGGGAAGGAAAAAAAAAGAGAAGGAGGCAAATCATAAAGGAGACTCTTAACTGTAGAGAACAAACTGAGAGTTGTTGGAGAAGAGGTGGGCAGAGGGATGGGCTAAATGGGTGATGGGTGTTAAGGAGGGCACTTTTTGTGATGAGCACTGGGTGTTATATGTAAGTGATGAATTGCTAAATTCTACTCCTGAAACTAATATTACACTACATGTTAACTAGAATTTAAATAAAAACTTGAAATATTAAAAAAAAAAATAGTGAAAGGCTGAATGCTTTCACAGTAAGATCAGGATCAAAAAAGATCATACATTCTTACAACTTCTTTAACATTGTTAGGGGGTCTAGCCAGGGCAATTAGGCAAGAAAAAGAAATAAAAGTCATCCAGATGAGAAAGGAAAAAGCAAAATTATCTACTTGCATATGGCATGATTTTGTATATAGAAACTCCTAAGGAATCCACTAAAACACTATGAAAACTGGTAAATGAGTTCAGCAAAGTTGCAAAATACAAGATCAATATAAAAATATCACTTGTACTTCTACATACTAGTAGTGAAAACTTAGAAAATTAAATTAATATTTTAATTCTATTTATAATAGTAAAATACTTAAGAATACACTTTATTTTTTATTATGTTCAGTTAACATTTTTTTATTTGAATTCAATTAGCCCACATAAGAAGTACAAGACATACACTGAAGATTACAAATTGTCATTGAAAGAAATGAAGGAACATCTAAATAAGTGGACAGATATTTCATGCTCATGGATCAAATGATCATCTTAATTATTAAGATGATTTTACTCCCCAGATATAAAACTATCCCTATCGAGATACCAGCTGCCTTTTTTTTTTTTTTCAGAAATTGACAAGCAAATCTTAAAACTCCTATAGAAATTCAAGGGATTCAGAAGAGTTAAAACAACCATAAATAAAAACACACATAAATTGATGTTCAACAAGGATGCAAAGGTAATTCAATGGGGAAAGAATCATCTCTAAAAAATGGTGCAGGGACAACTGGATAAGAAACAAAACAGATGAACATGGGGGGAAAAACAGGGAGGCAAACCAGGAAACAGACTTAACTATAGAGAACAATCTGATGGTTACCAGAGAGGATAGGGGTGGGGGGAGGGGTTAAATAGGTGATGGGTATTAAGGAGGGCACTTGTGATGAGCACTGGGTGTTGTATGTAAGTGATGAATCACTAAATCCTGAAACTAATATTACACTATATGTTACCTAAATGGAATTTAAATAAAAAC